AGATTAAAGATTTTGTTTTAGGTTGGTGGTGGTGGCAGCTATTGAAATTAAGGTAGAAACTATAAACAGGGTTGGCGTATAGTGTTGTGGAGATGGGGTTAATGAGACGTACCAATGTGTCCAGAAACAGGATGGAAGTGATAGAATATTCCATAGTGAATGTGGTGGATATATATATATATATATATATATATATATATATATATATATAAACATTTATTAGAAAATTATAACATAAGAATGTTATAAAATCACTACAAAAATAGCCATTTTGTTTCAACACTTCTGGTATCTTACCAAGTAATGGTAGTGATTTTATAACATTTTTATGTTATAATTTTCGAATAAATTATATTTGCTCTATTCTGTATTGAGCAGTCTTTTAAGAATAGTATTTGTTGGTTATTGGAATTTATTCCGTATACACCAATCCTATACTTTATATATATATATATATATATATATATATATATATATATAAGATGCTATATTTATGGGATAAAGTGCTCAATATCAAAGATAGGGCGTGGGTAAATATAAAAAGTGAACATAGAAGTCAACACTTGGGGCGACAGTCTGTTTCATGCTTTATACAATCCTCAGGAACTCGTGGCCAAAGGATTGCATCAAGCATGAAACAGACTGTCGCCTCTGTGTTGACTTTATGTTCACTTATATATATATATATATATATATATACACATATATATATATATATATATATATATATATATATATATATATATATATATATATATTGGATATATATATATAAAAATATATATATATATATATATATATATATATATTCCGTTTATACTATTTTTATAGAAATAATTTATCTAAGTTAACGCTCTGTTTTTTAATGAAACGGTATTAATTACATTTACCGACTTGAATGTTAAAGAAATTTCGTAGAAAATACGTGCTTCTCCGACATGAATTGAACATGTAGCCCATAATGGGTACCACCATTTGATCTGATTCGTTGTTAATCATTAATTATTTTCTTATATATATATATATATATATATATATATATAGTTTTTAGACGATAAAATGTATCGTTGGTAATTTTACTATAAAAATGTGTTTTTACTTTCGTGCCGTATTGATGGTCATTTTGCTGTAAAAATAAATTACTTCTGGCCATTTTGCTATAAAAATATAATACTACACTTTCTTAGTAAACAAATCGAAATACTATTTCCCATAGCTGGGACCCTCTCAGGTACTACTGTAACGAGATTTGTGACGAAATTCTTCTCTCGTCGTTCGCTGTATAACCAATGGTGACATCCAATGTCCATTGTATCTGAATATACAGGCAACTCGCTATGTACAGAGGTCTGTCCACTTGGCCCTAATCTAATTTACAAAGAATAACGACAATTGCTTTTCAAGACTCTCTGGCTGGGAAATAACAACAATACGAATTCTTACTTAGCCAGCTATCTTTCCTTCGGCTATATTCCAAACTGCCACCGGCCCCTTCATCCATAGACCCTGGGGAGCTACCCATTCACTGGTCACCTACCTGCTTCTCTGATTGCTTGACACATTTTCCACTAATTATATGAATAATGGCTGGGCTCTCATCCCTCTATCCATCCACTTGTGTTCCGAAAGTTAAAGACCACCCAAAAAGATGGTGGTCAGGACTACTTTTATGATTATCTAAAATCATCAACAATATTTTTATGTTTGCGAATTCAAAGCCAGTTGTAGATATAAATCCCCAAAGCACTGACACTTAAGTTTACTAAAAGATGTACTGCAGACGAAATTCCCACGAAACTCAGTTAACGAAGTGGACTTAAAAGAAACTAAATTTATCTACTTATCTTCTAAAGATGTGGAAGAAATCGTACTGTTACGCTACCAGGGAGGACGTGAGAACAACGGAAATTAAGATGGGGTTTCCCGCTCCTCAAAATCCCAATCTCGCGATCAGGGGCCTCGCTGCCGGATGTAGTTTATCGTCTTACCCAGGGCTAAGCGGTTCGGGTGGATTAACGGGTAACAGCAATGAAATGATGAAATCGACAAACTGAGTTCAAATTCCTCCTGAAAGACTGTTCATTTTGTACTTGCAATAGGTAGAAATCGCTTATCAAGTACGGGTTAAGGATGACCTCTTGTTTTGTATAAACACCATCTGAAAATGAGGAATTCTAATTATTTTGTTTAATGAGGAATTATAATTATTTACACTATTTTGTTTAATGAGGAATTATAATTATTTAAACTATTTTGTTTAATGAGGAATTATAATTATTTAAACTATTTGGTTTAATGAGGAATTATAATTATTTGAATTATTTTGTTTAATGAGGAATTATAATTATTTGAATTATTTTGTTTAATGAGGAATTATAATTATTTAAACTATTTTGTTTAATGAGGAATTATAATTATTTAAACTATTTTGTTTAATGAGGAATTATAATTATTTAAGTTATTTTGTTTAATGAGGAATTATAATAATTTAAATTATTTTGTTTAATGAGGAATTATAATTATTTAAACTATTTTGTTGTTCAAGGAAAAAAATATTCTACCTATTTGTTGGATGTTAACAGTAACTCTGCCCAAGAAAGTTACTGTTCTGTTAAAATAGTTATCCTAAATGAAGTGGGTTATAAAAGCGTACAAGACAGGAAGTGACGATTATAAGGAGAAGAGGGATAGATAATTTATCTACTTATCTTCTAAAGATGTGGAAGAAATTGTGCTGAGCACTCTTTTAAGTATAGTATTTGTTGGCTATTGGAATTTATTACGTGTACACCAATCCTATACTTGGATATATATATATATATATATATATATATATATATATATATTCCGTTTATACGTTATTTTTATAGAAATAATTTATCTAATTTATCGCTCTGTTTTTTAATGAAACGGTATTAATTACATTTACCGACCTGAATGATATCATATCACCCCACAACGAACAGTTTTAGTAGAAACTGGGCGATTCAGATGATTATTCAACTCAGCAGTCACATTGTTCGGACTGTTGTCAATTTTGTTGTCATATTCCCGACGTTTCTGCCGTTTTACGGTCCGGCCTTCATCGGGTGATTGGAATTTCAAACGAACCCTTTATTTCGGGATAGATTGTTCTAGTTCCACTGCCATGCCTCTCTCGGATATCTCAGTTTTAGTTTCGTTTATTTCCCTTTAACTCAAATCTCCAATTTTTTCTTCACCTCTGTTGTGGCCAGGTGTTGAACTCACATTTCTTTGAGTAACATCATTGGATTACTTCAATCAATGCTTTTATCCACTGGACAATGCGTACTTGACTACTGAAGAAGTTTTTTGCATACAACGGCCGAAACGTCGTGAATATGGCAACAAAGATAAGGACATCAGTCCGAGTAATTTAAATAGTATAAATGATTATATACACAAAAACATATTCCTCTTCTTGTTGTTGCTAATTGTAGCTGTGAAATAGGTACTCTTTTATTACTAGGACACGCCTCGCTACCTCAACGGAGTCGAATCACTATCATTTACCCCGTATTCCAAATATACGGATAATTTTTCCCAAGATTTTTTTTAAATATGACTCCCACATGAATGCTTCTCTGAACAATAAAATCGTAACATTTCAAGTGGAGAGTCAACCGTTATCTATCCCCCTTATCCTTATAAACGTCACTTCCTGTCTCGTCCGCTTTTATACCCCACTTCATTTAGGATAAATATTTTAAAAGAACAGTAACTTTCTTGAGCAGAGTTACTGTTAAAAGCCAACAAATAGGTAGATTTTTTTTTCTTTGAACTAAAGCTCTTGGACTTTGGTATTTATTCTTACGAAAGAAATGATAATATCTTTGAAATGTAAAAGAAGAACATAAAAAAAATCCTTCCTTACGTTACCCAGCTTAGTTGATTTTGATAAAGCTTTCAGAAATGAAGAATAAAGCTACGTTTCCTCTCATTTGTTTCTCGGTACCAAGAAGAAATAATAATCAATGGAATAGTTTCTTTTTCTTCGCAAAAATCGAATTATTCTCCTGTTGCCAAACGGAATGCAAAAAAGAAATTATCATCGGGTTCATTGGAGGGGGCCCTCATTTCGTCTCTGTTTTTTTTTTTTTTTTTTGAGATCGGCAAGGAAACAATTACTTCTCCCTAGTCAAATGACAAAAGCTAGGGACGAGAAGTGAAGCAGGAAAATGGAATGGAAGAAACAAAAGAAGAGAAAATGTTTCTTCAAAAGCACATTCACGAAAATATTAGAATGAAAAAAATGTTATGGTTCAAGAGCTATTTTTGTGTTTGGCATCTCTGGCGTGACGTCAATGTAGCATAGGGCTCGATGTATGTCACGTATGCTGTTACATCTAATATTATTTACATGTCATGCAGCTGCGAAATGAAAGAAAATGTTTTCATTCACACGATGCCATCAAACAAAACATGGTGTATGTTCATTGAACTGTCTTCTTTTCCAATATGGCAGCTGTCAAAAAGACTCTAGGCTCTTTATTTCTTTCTTCAGTAAAATATCGCACCGTGTTTAACTTATTTATCTAAATATTATTTAATTTTAAATTTTACTCCCTTTAAATATATTTATTATTAAAGATTTCTCCGCCACTGATTGTTTTCTCAACGTGGATCCATTATTTTAACGTCTACTTTTTAAAATCATATCACTCCCAACTAATCAAGGCGATAATGCCACTAAGACGCAAGCCATTACTGGGAGTAAAAGAGAATTAGCAGACTTTAATTAGGAGTAAGGTCAAAAAACAACAGGTCACATGAAGACAGGTGATGGCTTCTGACGTTGCATTAAACTTTTTGAAGATTATAGGTGGCAGAGAGGAAAGGAATTGGAAGCGTGTTTAATTGATGAGAAGTACAAGACATGAGACTATTAGTTATTGCAAAGAGACCTAATAGCCAATCTAGTAGCAGGCTTTAATTCATGCAGTCGAGCTACCAAGAAGGAGAGCGATATTTATTTGTACAAAATGTGGTGTTCCCAAGCGGTCCCCCATCTAAGTACTGACCTGGCTCTACGATGCTTAACTTCGGTGATCGAACGAGAACCGGTGTTTCAAGGAGCGTCTGCATCGGTAACCGGCTTCTGGTTGTTCCTGTCTCTGCGTCTGTGGGAACCCCGCGGCAAGCAAGAACGTTATCCGAGTAGGCCTGGGTACCCTACTTCTGTAATTTATCCCTTCTTCTCATAACAGGAAGAAGCCGGCTCAATCCGCCCAGGGTGAATGCCGCATCAGTACAGTACAGTACAGTACAGTACAAAATGTGGCACAAGGCCAAAATGAAGACTGGAAGAAAGGGCTGTCTTCTTCTGTCTTAACTTTAAACTTAGCTAGCCACAAACACTGACGCAATCATACAACAATATTCATTACACCAAAACAACGCATTCTTACTTACCTTTCTTAGTACATCCACCATAATACCTCATTGTCTCTATGAAAATCCTAACTAGTCCCCATATGTAAAATCCATTGCCTGGGGGGGGGGGGATAAAACAAGAATTTAAAAACTAGCCCCAATAAGTATTTACAATATGAAACAAAACTATTTACAAGAAAATATATAAAATAATGTTAGTAATAACCCCCACCCCCAATTCTTAAATGGGGCAGAAACATCAGTTAACTGAACGAAAACAATGCGGGACTATAATAATATAAAAAACATTCATTCATCCCAAGCACTCACACAGACACGCACTCAACAACAAATACGAAGACATACACGCGGAACGAAAGGCACCCCGCATCCACCAGAGAACTGACATCACCGACCACCTAACCAGGGAGGGGAGGGAGGAATTAAACTAAAGAAAAATAGCCCATTAAAACAACTGCCGTGAAAATATTTATAGAAAAGACAGAGAGAAACAACGTCACGTCGGGTGGAAAGTGACTGAAGACGATTTGCCGACTCAAGACCGATAAATGTGCTGGGTGGATTTTGACGCGAAAAATTGTCTTGCCTGATACTGGCAACCAACCAATCTTTTTTGCAGCAGACAGAGCAACTGTTTCAATACAATCACCCCACTTCAGGTCAGTCGAAAACGTGAGACCAAGAAAGCATAACGAGTTGATCTCCTGGAGGTTGGGACTTAAACCCACTTCAGACGACAAGTAGAACTCATACATGCTAAAGAAGCTCAAAAAATAACCGACTCATTTATAACTTTAAAATTCTTTCTGTCGTGTATTATCTTTACCAATGCCAGATAAAAGAAAGATAGAGAAATTGCTTCATTATATTCGCTGGAGCTGATCCATCTTCTATTTCCAGAGTTGCTTGAGTACAAAATCATTTCCACGGCCTTATGAGGAATGATGAACCATTTACATTTTGCAGCCTTTTGCCCCAAACAGACGCAACGTACCAAGCCTATCGAAACACTGTTTCTATGGCAAGTGTTCAGCCGATGTTCGTTAGTTCAACCAGTTTAGACCTTCACAACAAGAACACTTCACTTTCCCGGAGTCGAATCACTGTCATTTCCTCTGCGTTCTTAATGACGCAATTCGAGAAACAATGCCAACCCCCTAGCAATTGTAGCAAAAAAGTTCCAACTTCAAGTATCCTTCTTCCCAAGAACGGCGACTTCGTGGAACATAATGCTCACATATAGGGGTTGGAAAAAATAATTGAAACACCTGTTAAATTCAAAGAAAATTTATTTAATATGAAGTTGGTCCTCCTTTAGCCTCACATTCAGTTTTAATACATCTAGGAATGGAATCATACAGCTTCCTGACTTCATCCAGAGGAATTTTCAGCCATTCTTCCATTAGCACCTGCTACATCTCTTTAAGACACAATGATGGAGGATAGCGGTTCCTAACTTGTCGCTCCAAAACGCACCACAAATTATCAATAATATTGATATCTGGAGATTGGGGAGGCCACTCCATGTGTTCTAGCTCACTGCTCTTCATACCAATTCTTAACCACTCGAGCGGTATGTTTTGGAGCATTATCGCCTTGGAAGATGCAGTCAATGTTGCGAGTGAAGAGAAGAGGTTTCCTTACGGCGGCTCTTCCCTGATATCCAAATTTATGGAGCTCACAACAAAAAGTTTTAATAGAAACTGAACTATTCAGATGATTACACGGCAGTTACTTTGGCCGCAGTAGTCCGATTATTCTTTGTCACATTGTGTTTCAATGCATGTCAGTCCCTGTCCGTAAGTTTGCAAGTCCGGTCCGAATTGCTACAATTGCCAGAGGTCTTGCCCTGTTTCTCAAATTATGTCATAGTTCTTGATATGGTAGCTCTTGAAAAAACAAACAGTTCAGCAACCTTAGTGATCAAGGCTCCTGCCATACGAGCTTCAATAATTGGCCCTTTTTCAAACTCGGAGTGGTGACGCATTTACCTTAAATTTTACTAAATTCTAAAAATAAATACGACAAAGACAGTAAATTAGATAAATAAACGTATTTACAATAGATATAACCTGCAATTACGCAGTTTTAGTTAAAGTTCTTAATATAATAGGTCTTTGAAATATAGGAGTGGAATGTTCACCTGTTCCAATTATTTTGTCTAACCCCTGTATATGCTTCCCTGAAAATTAAAATCTTAATATCTCCAAGCCAAGGGTTAATCTGTCCTCCCTATCCATTTAATCTTCACTGCTTACCATATCTTCTTTCATTCATATCGCGCTCCATTCATCGTAACCATTTTAACTGTAGCGCTCTACCTTGAGTGGATTTCGAGCCTCGTATTGGGTGAACTAAGCTGACAGAACGTTTTTATTTTATTAATTAATGACATATTCACTTGGAAGCTATGTGATTTCATTTGTTCTATTATCTCTCATTGTCGATTATACGACTATATACATTTAATGATGAGAGATTGGCATCTGATTTCTTTTCCTATAGAGTACCTTTGGGAATGGGAAAATGGCTGGCTGTTTACATTCAATGTCTCGAAAAGCCCATTCCATCATCGCCGATCGGACCCCAGACTACCATGAGGAATGGATGCTCCCCCTCCCTCGTGTCTTGAGATACTATTGGGCCTTAAACTTTCATCTGACCTCAAGTGGAATTCGTACATACGATCCATCGCTAAGGATGCAGATAAAATTATCGGCTACTTGAACCTCTCCATTAAGTACCTGACTCCTCTACCTTGAGTGGATTTCGAGCCTTGTATTGGGAGAATTAAGCTGATAGAACGTTTTTATTTTATTAATTAATGATATATTGACTGAGTGACATTTATGTAAATACCTGGAAGATATGTGATTTCATTTCTTCTGTTAGTTCTCCCTGCAGATTATACGACTATATACGCGCCTCTAAAACACTTGATGATCAGAGATTGGCAGCTGATTTCTTTTCCGATCGAGTACCCGTAGGAATGGGAAAATGCTTAGCTGCTTACGTTCAATGCCTCGAAAAGCACATTCCATCTTCGCTGATCGGATTCCGGACGTGAACGATCCTGAATCTCCACAATTTCCTGTCTTTTTATTTTGAGGTGCTCTGCTTGATGGTGTGTGGATTGTCAACACTTCCAGTTCCATATTGAAGATGAGATATTACAGAACAATTCAGGACTTTTTCCCGGGGGACGTTGTCCTAACGCTTAATACTTTGCTTAGTTTCGGAAAGGCATTTTCGCTATTTCTATCCGCCTTTGGATTTCTGTATCGCCTGTTATAACACGATCCATATTTCTGTATCTGATGATTTGAACTATGCAAATAAGTAGCTCACAAGCTGAATTGTTTCTTTTGATGAGAATCATGCATTAGCGAAGTCTTGGAGAAATTCGAGGACAACGTTGCAGCATTTGATACGATCTGATGTCTGAATCGTCATTTTGAAGCAGCAAGACGTTGCAGGGATTGTTTCTAATATCGCTTTCATTTCATGGCGGTAGCAGTTGTTAAGTGGGCGCTTTAAGGTCAAACACTACTTTATATCTTAATTACAACGCACTCGAATCAAATAATGCCCAGTGACTGGCGATGATTGGCATGAATAGGTTAGAGGCGGAAAATTATAATTAACACCGGGTTTTCGTAAACCTATAATTAATAACGAAATTGTTTCCTAAACACTTCAGATACCTCAATGTATGTATCAGTTATAACAACTTTAGGAGATAAACGAATTGAACCTAGAATAAGCTGATCTAGGGGTAGTTTTGTCTACTACAAAAGGAAAACATTAACCTAAAAACTCTCGTCAGATCAAGACTTTGATATGGATGTCATTCATGGCGCCAAACGAGTTCAAAAACTGTCAGCTGTTCAGTAGTTAAAAATGGCTTTGATCTTACGATTAAGGCATTCTATAGACATTTAAATAGCAGTGAAATATTTTTCTTCTTTGATCCTAGTAGCATTTTTTTATGTCAAAGTTTTCGGTCAGTCTCGTCAAGGTGGGCAACCAATGCATTTGATGTATTATTTTATAAAATGTCCCTTTTGTGTTCATATAATCTTTTATTAAGATTCTTTGAGGTTTCTCCTATGTATTTTTCTGACAATTATTACAGGAGATGAAGTAAACACCTCATTCAGTTTTTAGCTTCTTGTTTTCTTTAGTATTGATTAAGACTTGTTTTTGATGAAGTAGTAACCGATACGATAGCAAGGTCATCTACAGTAAATTTGCGCCCTGACTCTTACAACATTTCACAATTCCTGGAAGAACTAATATCAGAGTGCGCAATACCTACTTAAAAAATTGATGGAAAGAAAAATGCTCTAAATAATCTTCTTTTTTTTTTCCATATTTTCATTTGAATTTCCGGTTTAAAAAATTAATTAACCACATAAAAATCTAAAATGCCTTGTGACAGAAAGATAATATTTTTGAAGCAGCAGTCATTGTTATTACAGAAGTCAGTACTGAATGATAAAACATTTTGACTAAGATTACGACTGCTACAACTACTACTAATAATATTAATGATTAATTCTCTCTATTCAGATTTTCACAGATACTGAAATCCGCTCATCAGAAGACAAAAGTATTTTTATTATCACATAGCATATGTTTCTTAAAATGTCATGACGTAAAATTGCTTGAATTTGCTTT